GTTTTGAAAGCTCGCCGATGATCCCGACGAATGTCAACTCCGATACCAAAGACACATCTTAAAGACCTATGAACATAAGATTCATCACACCAAACACGACGACCTCGAACAAGACAACACACCACTACTATCGGCTGGCAGCGTACGACTATTCAAGCATCGCCAATGACTGTGATGCTTCTACAGCACGCAGCGCTCCAGTACTACAAGCCTCCTCCACTTCCATCCAAAGATACCTGCACCCAGCAGCAACATATGAGCACTCCTCCGCCCGTCCACCGCAACGCGTCACTCCAGGCCTTTAAAACGTCTTGCAACACCAAGGCTATGCGTTACTATCGTCTCTGGATATACACATGCAACGCGGTGCTACTGGTCAGCGTCTTGGGATTCGCGATCGTTGCAGGCAGAATCGTGGTGGCCGACCCGCGGCGATACCTCGTCCCAGGTCTGTCGCTGTACCAGCCGAGCTTCTTGTACGCATACCTCGCCCTTGCAACGCAGAGCGGACTTCTTCAGCTTGTCGGATGCCTGGGAGCTCTGCGTCTCAACGAAAGGCTTCTCAACATCTACTGGTTGCTACTACTAATGCTTCTTTTCGGTGACGCCATCGTCGGTATAGTATGGGTGTTTCGTTTCGATAAAATATGTGCCGACTTAAGACCGACGCTCAAGCAACGTTTGGCGGCTGAATACGGGGTGGATGCCGATTTCACTACCTTGTGGAACGCTTTGCAGAGAGACTATAAGTGCTGTGGTGTAGACGGTGTTCAAGATTTTGAAGGTGGTGTTGTGAACAGGACTCAAGGTGTGCCAGAAAGCTGTTGCAGGTTTCCTCCATTACCTACCACATTAACTGTCCAAGATCACCAACATCACCACCACCGTCATCAAACAATGACAGAAAGAAGGCCTCCCCTGGGAGGGACGCCGACTTTAAAAATGTACCCAAACCTTCCGTCACCTCCTTCAGCATCGGCGGCTTCCTCGTTCGCGGAAAATGGGCCGTTAAATCACGTAATATCCCCGGAGGAGGAAGCCGAAACGAACAGAGTCCCCGCAGACACCACGACAACCCAGAGACTTCCACCGCCGTTCCAATCCGACACTTGTGTTGTGACCAACGTTGATGAATCCCACGTGTACACTTCCGGGTGCGAGAGTCTACTTCTGTTCTGGTTACGTCAGAGTGCAGACGTTCTGTTCGTATTAGGTTACTGCGTCATTGCATTCCTCAAATTATGCTTCCTCGGTATTCTGCGATACGAAATTAAGGAGATGATTCAAAAAATAAAGGTGCTTCAAGGTGAAATGAGAACTCCACAATTACTACTCACTGAATTTGAAACCGGGCAATCGCCGATTACATCCCCGACAACGACAACGCGACATTTAGAGCCTCTACTCATGAATCATCATGAGAGCAATAACGGAAATATTGTCATAGGGAGTAATGGAGGAATGATCACTGTAGCTGGCAATACGACGTCGCCTCCGCCCCAGATTCGTCACGGAGGCGCGGCGTCATGTGGAAGTGAACGATCCGGAAACGCCGTGCTACTTCTCCAGCCACCTGACAGTCTGCAAACGACGCCATTGCACCACGTATCGGCACAGCACCAGAGGCACCTCACGAATGACGGGACGGACTCCGACACGAACAGCAACTGCGCCCTCATCATATCAGAGGACAGTCGGCCTCTGACGGGGAAGACGAAGCAGCCACGGGGATCCAACGGCAACAACAACTACGAACTGCATGAATTTCAAGAGCTCAACAGGCTCCTTGCGAGGCATCAGAGTCAAATCTGACTATGGAGGTGGATAGCCGCTTGCTTTCCTATGCTGTTCTTCCCATCCGTGCCGTCGTCGTCTAGGAAACGCAGGAGGGAGTTCGGTTATTACTGACCCGAAGGAAGAAACAATGATTCTGTCTTCACATAAATCAAAAAACTCTCTAACGATCGATTCTCAGCTGATATGCTATAGTGATGTGGTCACGTGCACAACATAACAGTGCTTTAGTAAATAACTAGATTGGTTCTTTCATACAACAGCAAAAAACAGGACTGAAGAACGTAGGATATGATATTCTCATGGCGGCGAGGACGAAGATGGCTGTCTT